CTTACTGTCTGGTAGTTCGGCTGTCATCTGGCATCTTTGGGCCCAAATCGCCAAACAACTGTGAAAGTTAGGCTTCACTGTCTCATAGTTCGACTGACAACCGGCAGCTCTTTGCCAAAGTTGCCAAACAAGTGCCAAATTTAGGCCCAATGTACGAAAGTTTGGCATCCAACTGGCATCTTTGGACCCAATCGCCAAGCAGGTGCCAAAGTTAGGCTTGATTTCCTGATAGTGCGTCTATCATCCGGCATTTTTGGGCCTGAATCGGCTTAGAACTACCAGAGCTATAGGTTTGATGCGTAGAAGCACGTTGGTCATCTGTCGTCTTCGGTCCCAAATCGCCAGACGAGTGTCAGAGTTAGGCCTCATTGCCTGGCAGTCCGGTTAGCATTTGGCATCTTTGGGCGTCGATTCTTTATCAAATGATAGAGTAAGGTAATGAGGGCGGGTCACGTTGGCGCTGGCTTGTATATGTTTGGGGATGAATGACCGATGAGGTCTAGGTACGGCGCGGGTAGTCTTCGACTAAATTAAATAAAACGTAAGTTTAATTCTGCGTCGAATATATTTTTGAGGGGGATTCTTGCTAGGTGGGTCGACCGTTTTGCCTCGGCAGGACCATACAAAGATGATTTTGCCAAAGCAGATTGCCCGGATTTCTGGCTTGCGCGTAGGTATACACACCAATATCCGTTTGGAGAATCACACAGCTGTAACGGGCGCTCCTTGAGTCTGGTTCGACGTTACAGAAAATACTGCCACCGAGCGAGTGCTGCGCGAGACTGATGTGCGCAGGTCTCCTCAACGCGTGCCATTACAAGGCCACGCATTGCAAAACCGACAGTAGCTTTGTAATTGTCTTGCATTGCGATTTACCATTGTCAAAGCCCATCGATAACAAAAAGCAGAAGCGGCCGTGGCTCTGTAATACCGTGCTGGCATCATACACGTGGGAACTGGGGTCAAATCCTAGCGATGGCGGCGGCGGTGGCGGCGGCGGTGGCGGCGGAGGTGGCGGCGGAGGCGCCGCCGACTTTTTAAAAATGTTTATTTGAAGCTTTTGACAATATCAACCAATGCATCATTAATATAGCCAGCTTCGATATTGGCGTCGAATTGGAAATATTTTGCCGATACCATTTTGATACAGACGATGTCTGTGAAGTTTCGCATGCGTGGGTTTGTGTCCCAGCTGCCCTCTTTCTTAAGAAAGAAAATAAAGTATTGATTGATTGATTGATTGATTGATTAGAGTTTCTGTATAGCCGCCCAACGGGACACAGAGTTGCGCGTCTGTTTTCCACGTGCCGCCAAGCAGCTATTCACCGAGATCCAATCACGTGAGGAGCAGAGTCAAAAGCCGTGCAGGAAAGTCGACGTTGGACGCGCCCCAGCTTACGTTTCCCTGCTTTTGAGCGAACCGCGCGCCTCGAACGCGCGGCGCCTCTATTCGCCCAATTCAGTCACCTGAGGAGCAGGCTCCAAATGCCGTGCAAGAAAGAGGGCGCTACGGGGATGAACGCTCAACTCTGGCGCCTCTAGGAAGCCTATACAGGAACTCAAGGATGGGTCGCGCCGACGCCATTCTGACATAGCGCAGGTGCCGCCGTGTTTTTGAGCCAGCTGAGTGTCGTTTGTGAATCGGCTATGACCGCAAAACAAAGCCGACGTCAAAAAAAAAAAAAGATTAAGCAAAATAGTCTTTACTTACATTTCGCCCGAAAAAGACATACAAAAATACAGGGGCGGCTAAGCTGCATTTTCTATTTCCTCTCAACCTCGTCTTGTCGTCCACTTCTTCACGTGTCCCGTTTCTTTGGCGCTCATTTCCAGTCATGAACCAACAAGCCCAGCTAAAGATTTCGTTGCTTTCAACCTCGCTTGTTGTTAAGACTAGCCACCTGCTTTCGTTTTTTCCTGTGGCTGTGTGCAATCGTGACGGCTGCTTCAGGCGAATCAGAATCAGAAAAGAAGCCTCTCTCCGTTTACGAATCTTTCGACACAAACGCTGGGACAAACATTTGTCGCGTGACTCGCTCTGACGCGCAGATGGGCTCACTGGGGCCGTAGTCTTCGCCGTTTGCCAAGTTATGGTGATGGTTAAGGGGCCACGTAGGTCCGGTTTCCGAAATGTGCTCTTTGGTGTTCTGCCGCTTTCCGTGCTTTGCTGACGCGGCCGTTCTTTTCCGTCCTAAGCGGCCGGAATACGTCCATGCCAACTTTTCGCTAATGGCCGCTTTCGTCGTCGGAGTCCACGGAGTTGTTGCGCTGTGTTTGTTGAATGGGCTTAGATAAAAACTTATCTTCAATTACAGAGAGACTTCCGTTGAATGTGCGCGACCATCTTTCTCGACTTTGTGTTGGTGTTGCTAAGTGTTGTCCGAGTCGGAATATGCATCTATCGCGGATTACATGATATCGATGTTTTATTAGTAAGTACGCTGCAAGCATGCTTATGATAATGGTCCTGCTTCCCTTTTAATTTCCAAGGTACTTCTTGCTTGACTTATGAGTTTTTTTGCTAGGCATATGAACAGTGTAAATTTTTCATAAATAATTTGCCTTTCGTTTTACGGGGAAGTAACACTTTTTTAAATGTGGTGAGGAGACGCTGTGCGTAATCATAGTGGTTCAATAAACTTCCGGGAGCGATCGAAAACAATATTGTGTAAAAAATAGTCAGAGTGCAGGCGAGCTGGTGTAAGTTGAACATGATTGTAAACCTGGGACTGTGTTGTGTTCTCTTTTCTGCCCCAGTCTCAGGTTTACAATCATGTTCAATATTGTGTGTTCGCGGACTTGATTGATGTAGCAGAGTTACACGACGTCCGGCCGATACAGAGCAGATATGCGACTTCTGGCCTAAACCCGGGCGGATCCGTGAGTACCCGTTATCGCGCCGATACCGGGGCGAAAGTCTGACCCGTAGAGTATTCGTACGACATTGCGCCAATAGTAGGCCGGTGGCGAAACGGCGGTACGCCAAATTCCTTCCGGATATATCGGGCCGTTGGGCAAAACTCGACATGTTGCCGATATTGGAACCGATTTTCAGCCCGCACTGGTACGACACTATCGCCATGCTACTGTTTGGGAACGGGGATGTTGAGATTGACCATCGTATTTCGAAAGGTTATTTCATTTATTTTGTTCCGTAGCATATGAAAGAGCACTCTTGTGGCACACCAGAGGAAAGCCAAATTTCCGAATGCCTCTGGGTTTTATTAATCACTTTTGGCCCTTATTTGGCATTCCAGTAGCTGACAAGAGAAAAGCAAAACTTCGTCACGCCCACGAATGCCCACATTAGAATTTGCTTTGACAGTTGCGGATCGAAAATGGTACTAGCTTTGGCTGTCCTCTAGCGGGTCACCCAAAAACCAAACTTTGGCATGCCTAGAGATCGCCTAAGAAGGGCCATAGCTAGGCAAAGTACTTCGGCCGTAACAAGCGCGCGTGGAGCATAAATTAACTAGGCATAAGTTAGGCCCTTGCGGTTGCTACACCCTTGCCAAGTTAAGAGCCTCTCTGGCGTGCTGTTTGGTTGTGTTCATCACTCGAACTATGATTTACTAACGTTTTCCTCGCCCCAATATTGAGATATTTTATGGGCAAGATTTTGGAACCATGTACAATACAATTATTTTGATTTATTCGAATGAGATTCAACCTAGGGAATAATAAAAAAAAAACAAGTCTGGATTAGTAACTCGATCTTGAATAGAAAATGTAAAGTGTATTTGAACAAGCGAGTATTTCGTGGGCACATTTTGTATGGCTCTCTGGCCAATTTGGTGTTCATCGATGTCAAAATGTACAATATTTCGATCGTGCTAAGGCCATGCGCCGCCCGCTTCGCAAATTTTATTCTGTATATTAATCTTGACAACGAGTCTCATGAAAGCCTCAGAGCTGAAGCCGGGGTGTCGCTGAAAGACAGCCTTTTAAATCTCTCTTCTTCCAGCGGAGCTATTAATGGCTAGTTTCCCCAGTTTCGTGTCCAGTACCAAATTTTAAGACAGAACTACACAAAACTCTGGACAGCTACCGCCATCTATGAGCGACGGCGACAACCAGACAACCAATCTGGTTGCCGCCGTCGCTCGTAGATGTCGGCAAACTTTCCAGCCCTTCGGTCAAGGTGCGCGATGATCCGGTGATCCCCGTCCTGTACGTCCCCCCCCGCGACGCCCAAGAGAGACATTGAAGCATTCATGGTGGACGTCTTCGACTGGGTCATGCTCAGCGACGACAGGTCTGCGTAGTGACGGGGGACTTTAACGTTGACATTGCGCGCCAGGACGGAAAGTGGTTCACTTCGTTTATGCTAAAACGTTTCGGGCTTGGATATGTGAACGAACCTACGGTGCCAATCACCAGGCGTCGGACGTGTATAGACCTCGTCTTCACGAAGAACGGGTCCCCCGTCAGCGTACAGCCTATGGCGGAGTGCCACAGCGATCGCAATGCCATGGTTACTGTGGTTACGAAATAAATGAGAACCCCGGATCGTTATATATATACGTCTAATTTTTTAATCGGTAAAATAACCAATTACCCGATCACACCTTAATCCTTACATTTATAGATACGTCATTTCCATCATTGTAAAGCTTCGCTGGTCTTCCTCGTTTACCACAGTGAAAAGCTGACACTTCTTCAAGTTCTGCTCTCCAGCAACAACCACTTTATATCTCAAGTTTGAACGAAACTCTCAATAAAACAAAAAGACCAATAAATTGAGATTGCATTTTCCAAGGCTGATTCGACAAATTTCTCTGCTAAATTTAATTAATTTTAGGTGGGACAAAAGTCATACATGAAACAACTACACGCAATATAATGTAAGCATCCCACAGCATGCAATTCAATGTTATGGAAAAAAAAAGAATTTACTTACTCAGAAGATCAAAAAATCTTAATTATCACTGGCTGCTACGTGGTGTTGGTTCGCTGCTCTATCGAGAGCCGAGTCTTTCATTCAGCCGATTTCAGCTCACCTTATAGCAGCCATATCCTGTTAATGTACAGTGCAGAAACATCTGTCTACTTGAAACGAATGAAATTTATTTGAGTGATTGTTCGTCTTTTATTTCTGTTGTTAACATTTCCAAGCCAAAAAAAGTTTTTTTTTTTTTTTTTGCCGATAGAAAGGATGCGCCCTGAAAGCGTCGTTGCCACAGGTGGCTATGACGTACACGCGGTGTTGTAGGCATTACCAAAAAAAGTAACGAAATACGTTACTCGTTACTTCCAAATAAAAGGAACGGGTTGCGGGCAAACGTTACCTCAAATTAAAAGAAACGCCTTACCGTTACCGTTACCGGTAAAAAGTTACGCACGTTATTTTTTTTTGTTTACTTTTGAATTATGAATTAACACGTTTTACATGAAAGTACAGGTATGAATAAGCGCCATATTTCAGGATACATAACGTTCATGCAGAAACTGAATATAATTACGTTTGATATGTTCATGGTTTCACCTAAGTAACAAAAAAAGGGCAAGAAGGATGCAAACGTTCACATAGCTTGCCGCCTAAATGCGCGAAAAAACATGTAGGTGTGATATTTGTACGCCTAGGGAAGAGGAAGTTGCGAGTAATGTTACTGTCACCCGTTACTCGAAATAAGTAGGCTAAGTGCGTTACCCGTCACTGTTCTGAAAAGTAACAAGTACGTTACTTGGTTACCTTAAAATGTAACGCGTTAAAGTCAACACTCCGCACACGTTAGTATATCTTGTTTTGCAAGTCTTCTCTTTCTAACTCTGCCTGTCTCTCTTTCTCTCTCTAACGTAATCATTGATCACCGGAAATTGTTTGTATGCCCTTCTTTTATAATAAAATACTTTACGTTTTTTCTACTACTCATGTCAACATCCCGTGTCTGTACGATGAACTCTAAAACACATGTAGAAAGAATACCTCAAAACTCTCACGAAAATATCACTCTGAGACACGTTTTACAGTATTTTTCTAGACACAAGCCATATGGATTCATGAAGATATGCTTTTATGAAACATAATTTTTAATTTTGTCTAAGGCTGCAACCCGCGTGCAGGGTTTCCAATTATATGTTTATATGTATTTATGTATTTCACCCCAACCCGCTAAGAGGGCCATTCAAGTAAAACAGATAATTTGTATAAGCACAAATGATGCGTGTGCTTAGGCATAGCAAAAAGTACTATATATTTTAACAAAATAGAGGTGCAAAAGTATTGAAAAAACTTTAACCGAAGAATCCGAGGTTTACTAATGGTTCTGAAGCCTCACGCTGTGATGCTTATAAAAGACAAGTGGCAGGATCGGGCAGCATTTCAGATGTAAACTGTGATAAGGTGGTGAACTGGGCCAGTAGGTTGACGGTATACATGAAGAAAAAAAAACTCAGAAAACAAGGACTACAAGAAAGATCACGACAAGACAAATCTGTACTCGGAACTGAAGAATTTTAATGAAGGAAACAAAGGCAGAAAAAGAATCATTCAGATATCTTAAAAGATTGCACACAAACAGAGGACCACACTCGCCAACCGTGAAGCGTGTAAGTAATCCACATTTCAACCCTTTCACTACGTGACCCATTTTTTCTCGCAGGAAAGATATGTCTTTGTCTGACAGCGCCAATGAAAGTTCACTGACGCATGAATCAGTGTTGTATACGTTCCTCAAAAAGAGGAACGGGAGCTCGTTCCTTGTTCCTCTTGATTTTTTTGGAACGCGTTCCCGTTACAAGTTCCATCTGCGAAAAAGGAACTCGGTCCCTTTACAGCTTAAAAATGGAATGTATCGTTACTTATACGTTACATATTCAACTTACATTTGTATTTTGCAAATTAACACATTTACTTAGGTCAAAACAAGATTTTTTTTTAATCTATCTTATCAAATAGCAACATACGAATTTGAATGCCGCGATGAAAGGACACCAGGAGAAGAAAACACGCGAAAGCAAGGTTTCATTTGTTGATATATTCACATTTAGAAATCTCAGCGTTTTTCCAAATTCATGTTTGCGGTGGTCAATGCAGACGAGCCAAATGTACTGTTGCCCCACATTGCACGAGCGTTTTACAACAACGTCCCACATTTCAATCGAACAAGCTCCCGTGTTCGAACCTAACAGCATTTTCTTCTCGATGTTGCTGTCCGCATAACGGGAAAATGGAAAAGAGAGTAGGGGTGTCTGAAGGTCAGTCTTGAGAACCACCAATCCCTCTTTGCGAAGGTTGTATTCGTTGTCCAGATTCAAGGTGGCAAAAGAGGAGAGGGAATGAAGGTTAATTCTTTTGCATCTGGCCAATCTTTGGGTACAAGGGTGCGTTTGATATCTTGTAACCTGATATTTTGGTCTAACTGTAGGTTTCTTTATAGAAGTTCAGTGATGACTGCAGTCGGCCTCAGATTTCTGAGTGTATGAGGATTCGTGGAAGCAAAGAAAGTAGCTGAGTTTGAGACGTCCCTTTTTCTGTCTTTTCCTTCGACTAAATGTTTTGATTTCTGTGCCGCAGTCTCGCGCACTGAAAAGAGAATCAATGCTCACTAGTTCTCCTGCACCCTACTGTTACCGAGGGAGGATCCCACGAAAATAAACCTTAAATCACAAAAATCTTAACGAGATCCTGTTCTTCGTAAAGATATTGTTTTAATACTTCTTTTAGATTTCCCCTTTTAAAAATGAAATAAAAATGACCCCACTGGACGAAGAAAAAGGAACGCCGTTCTTTCTTCCGTTCCCGTAAAATGTAACGAGTCCCCGTTCCAGTTACACTAATGCAAAATGGAACGGCGGCGTTCCTTCGTTCCTCCTAAAAGGAACGCGTTCTAGGAACGCCGTTCCGTACAACACTCGCATGAGTGTCCATGACACGAAATATGGAAGACCTCTTTAATCTATCTCGTCCTTGTGTTGGGCCAGAACCGTAGTCCTTGAATTCGCTGGTCCTTGTGTTCGGCCAGAACGGTGATTCTGCCAAAGTCAGGCCGACATTTGCACTCTTTGCAGTGAATTGGCAAAATCGTGTACTTTGCGCCTTAGTTCAGTAGGTGGAAGACATGGAATAGCGGTAGTTTTTTCGGCGTCCCGGAAAATAGGCCGGATATGTTGCACGGTTGGTGCGGGTGCTGATAGTCGTTCGAATCCGAAGAGCAGCAAGGCGCATGGAAAACCTTTTGTCCCTTGTGTTTCGTGTGTGATTTATAAGATCCCTTTGTCATGTAACATGGGCTACGTGGGGCAAATAGGAAGATATTTGAATGATAGATTACGAGAACAGTCGTATTCTCTCGGAGCCACGGTTGGGGGGCACTCGCAAATTCATTACAGAGAGTGCAAATGTCGGCCTGACTTTGGCAGGGTCACCGTTCTGGTCGAACACAAGGATAGGGTAACAAGAAAGATTATAGAGGCCCTTCCACATTTCCTGTTATGGGCATTCATGTGTCAGTGAACTATCCTTGGCGCTGCCTGCAAATGAGATATCCTTCCTGAGGGAAAAATGTATCCCGTTGGGAACGAGTTGATATGTAGATTACTGACACGCTTCACGATTACGAGTGTGGTCCTTTGTTTGTATGTAATCTTTTAAGATACTGGATGTATGTCTTTTCTGTCTGTTTCCTTCATTAAAAAACTTCAGTTCTGAGTATAGCATTGCACGTTCGTGTACATTCTTCCTCGTAGTTTGTGTTTTCTGAGCTATTTTTCCCATCATGTGCTTCAGATATCCTTTTTTTTAAATATGTATTTCAAATCCTTGGAATGTTTTGTATTGTGTATGTATTTACATACCCGTGAACGTATTTGTAGACTGAATTTAAATAAAACGATTTGAATATTTGATATTCAAGAATGTTTTGACTGCGCAAAATTAATTTTGACATGGTTCTATGCAAATCAAGGAGCACTGCTGACAATTGGAGTTATTCTGAAAGAGCATAAAACTTGCCGCGTTTTGCGTACAATAAACAGAGAGAAAAAAAGTAGATCAATAGATGAATGGCATATGAGTACAACTGCTTACTTTTTGGTGGAGTGATTTCATTTTAAAATTCAACGCATTAACGACATGTTTGAAAAGTCTTTGAAGCACCACTTGAGCCTTTGAAAATGATCTAACACTGAGTATATTATTTTTCGTCATGTTTCACCCGCCTGATCAAGTTAGGACAAACAATTTCTAATTTTAGAGGTGCAACATTTTTTTTAAGGACACATGCAAGGGGAAAAAATGTGAACAACCTGGATGAAAAAAAAAAGCCATAAAAATTGCAAAAAAGTAGAGCTATATTTACGGCGCGAAACAAATTTGTATTTGGTGCCTGCGGGAGCACGCGGAAAGTGGCTATTAGCAGTCACGTGACGGCTCCTAATTACGTGGTCCTCGCGCTCTTTCGGGAGTTTCTATTGCTTCTAAAAGTTACTTCTTATTCTCGGTGTTTTTGTTTTTCGCGCATCTCTATTTAGCAAATGATCGGGATGTTTGAGCAAGAAAAAGTATAAGGAAATCGTCACTTCCGTTATGACTCCTACGGTAACAAAGGAAAGCTTCGACATTTTGTGTTCGAACGGGCGCGGTGTCACATATTTTATTTTCCATCATGTCGGTTCTCCAAAAGCGATGCCGCTGCCCGACGAAGGGCAGCAATCCTCGTGATCGTGGAGCAGCTGCCCCGCTTTTGGGGAACCGAGGTGTTAGAAACTAAAACATGTGACATCTCGCCCCATCGAACAGAAAATGGCGAAGCTATTGCTTGTTATCGTTTGCACAAACTGTGCAATGTTTTATAATTAATCAATCGCCCCAATAGAGACATTCTTCCCGAGACATGGCCCCAGCTGGGACGCTACGAACGACGACATAGCCTGTAGTAAAGTGGTTAGTTGGGCGAGTTGGTAATGATTGAACATGGTTAAAATTGCGCACAAATAGAAAGGTACAGAGAAGAGGGAAGAGAGAAGAGACAAGCGCAAACTCACAACTCGATGTATTGAAGGAAGAAAAAAGAA